TCTCAATATTACAGAATAAAGTTAGTAAAATGTATCTTAAAATCACTATTAAATTGAAACGGATCCATTTTACTAACTTTTATCTATGACACTGACAGCTCTATTTCTTAAAAACTAAAAGAAACCTGTTTCTGAAAAATACATCAATGTTCTGAGTTATAGGTCTCTTAAAGTTTCATTTATTCAAATCAGACGTAAATGTCATCACTTATAACAGACTTATCTATTTGAAAAAAATTTTGTCTGACTTTTGCATGATAACATAATCTAGTTACACTGGTCTTTTGGGTCGCTCATTTTCTTCTAAATTAACAAATTAAACATAGTGTACATATTCTGTATATAATATTTTGTAATTTGTATATCTTACATCATCTGTATACATTATTATCTATTTAGCCATAAATAATTCTCAGAGGAAAATAATCATTTTTTTTATTCTCTTCGTCAATACAATTCTTAATTCAGATTCTTTTTTCGTATATGAGCACATAAAACGTTTTCTCCTTAACGAACATAGTAAGAAAAAGACTGAATTATCGCACAGCTCCAAAGTAATTGTACATTCTGCTCAATTGGCTAATCAAAACTGGAATATTTAACGAGGAATCCTTTTCACTTCTTACACTAATTTAAAATACACAAAGTGTAATATATCTGCCATACTTTTCAGAAACAGATTACAGTAGTACAGTAGTACAGAAAAGAATATATACATACATCGTCATTCTGTTATACGATAGTTCCATATTCTTTTTCTCAGGCATATTGAATAATACTGTTCTCAATTTTGTTTCCAATCAAATTACCGGTGAATTTATTCACCGGTGAAAATATTCACCGGTGAATAAATTCACCGATGCGAATTTTGACGGCTTCCCTTACTGCCACAAACAAAATACTACTATAAGCGAATGTCTAGTCTTACATAGTTTTGAATTTGCATCGGATTTCTTTAAGAGATAGTTTTGTCATGAATTGGTCGGAGAGAGTAGAAAGGAAATACAACGTTGCTGCTTAACGGTGTGTAAAAACAGTCTTAAATTCTTAATCAAGCTTGCTTTGGATTAGAGATGTGCAATCCGACCCGAAGCTTTGCTTTTAGTAACATAGTCGTATCCGTGTACATGTCTGCTTGGGATGGGAAAGAATTCTAGTTTTTTCTTGTTATACTATGTCCTTGGATCAATTACATCTCTCTTTACGTCGAAAATATAAACTAAATTAGTGAGGAGACGTTCTTGTTCTACGTTGTTGTTGTATTCACTTTGTTTGTCTCAGCAGCGTTGTTTTTGATTTCATTGTTAGTATTCAGTTTTTCATTTATCCAATTCATTGTGTGTTGAAATACTTCTTCCTTTTCTGGTTCATGATAAATTTCTTAATATAAACTAGGCCATTCCTTATACGTGAAATCACCTCTAGCACGTTCAACAAAAGCTCGACTAGCTTGATGTTGTGTAAACAAGTCGTCGGGTCCATGCTCAACTAACGTAGGAATCGGAAATCGTGCTTTCAATCTATCACATACACGTGCACCATTATTAATAAATGATGCTAGACCAGTTGTTAAACGGTCATGTCTTGATTTGTCGTTTCAAACTAATGCAAGAAATTTTTTATCTTCAGACACGGCTTTTGATTCAATTGTACTTGGTAAACGTGTTAGTGGATTCAAAGTTGCAATGATTCTGCCAATTATTCTTTGTGCAAATTTCGGCATTTCTCTTAAACGTATAAAATGATCCTGTCATAATTAGTGCTGCATGTGGGCATGGGGCATGGCCTTGTTCTTTTAACACACCGATCAGTAAACAAGCATACTAACATTCCAACCATTGCCATACCATGCAATACAAGCTTTTTATCCGGATACAACTCTGTAACTTTTTTCAAAAAGTTTTCAATGTCGTTTACGAATGCATTTAAACTCGGAAGAAACCCTTTTGTTCCCTCCGAACTGCCGTGTCCGCGTAAGTCAAATGCAACGAATGTTATTTGATATTTGTTAAAGTAATGGCCCAGGTCATAATAACGACCCAAATGCTCGCACCAACCATGGACAAATGCATGTATGTATTTAGGATTATTGATAGTCCAGCAATGTCCACGTAATTTGAGTCCATCGGACATAAAATTCAAGTCTTCTTCCTGCAGTAGGTAAGCTGGGAATGCAAAAATCAGGTATAAGGTTGTCTTTGCATAAAGTAGCTGAAAGTAATGTGATGTTCTAGTGATCATATTTATTTACGACATACTGGAGAATCTGTTTGAACGCAAGATTTATTGTCATACACCGTCCCAGAAGTATCACAGCATTTAAATCTATTAGTAACCAACCTGCTTCAATTTCTTTTGCTGCTTCAACTGCATCATGGAATCGCCCGTGTGGTTTGTGTGCAGGTTCATTTTGATATCTGTTATAAATAGCATGTTCAAAATATTGTAATAAATCATCATCTTGTACATGTTTCATTGGAATGTTGATTAATTACAGATGCGATTTGTCGCAGATGACGTATGTAGCCAGTTACGCTTTCACGATACATTTGTTCGTTTGATTTTAATTTGTTACGATAACGTGCAACTGCCTGAATAACAACTTCCCTATTAAGCTCATCCCGGCGCTCGAGAAGATCTTCACAACGGCGCTGTTCCTCTGCATTAACAGCGGGTAAAACAGCCTCTTTTAAGAGCTTTTCCAATTCTTTCTTGCCTGGAAGAAATTCTGTACAGATCGCTTGTTTTAATTCCTCGAAATCCATTTCTTTGTAGTTCTTTGGTAGTGTTTTTAGAGCTATTCCGGAGAAATGCTCATCCATGAGTTTGCATCGCTTTTTGATGCCAGTTTGCATCGTTTTTTTGACATCGGCGGCTACTTTCAATGCTCTTAACCAATCGATCACATCTTCGCTTCAATCGCCAGTAAATTCTGATAGTAATAAGTCCAAATCATTTCGGATGTTCGGTTTCTCGTCTTCTTCTGTTGCTCTCTGTCCTGTTCCTTCTGCACCATTCGCTGTGACAGCATTATTATGATCAGAAGTTAGCTTCGCCGCCATTTCTATTGCAAGAGGGTCGAGAAGCTTTACAACAGCAATGCTTTGAAGACTAGTGATCAATTAACAATGGTATAGATATGTATTGGATAAGATCTACAAAAGAAGTCATATCTCATCATTCAACTTTTATAACTTCTTACAACTAATTATGATGAAAACACTATAATTCTAAGAAGGTAATTAGTATAAGTTCAATACGATCAAAATTTTCTTTTCTCACGAATCTTGTGGTTATTTTCGTAAAAGATGAGCAAATGAGTTCAGAAGAAGCGTAAGCAAGTCAAAAGCGGAGAAAAAATTGAAATCCGATATTTTACTGTCGCCACTACCCTTTTTCGTACCCGAAGGAGTGAATCTTCGTGTAGCTGATCTTTATGAAGCTTGTAAGCGACGCATTTCACGTGAGAAAACATAATACTTTTCCCGTCATTCTGATGAGCTTTCTAATCGACGCTCCGCTTCACGCCTGCAACCTGTTTTGTTAAGTTAGTGATATGTAGTGCTGCAGCTCCGAAAGGCCTTCAGACTAGGAAGGAAAAACAGCGTCACAGCTCCGGTGGTCCCAGTTGGTTCCATATGAGTTCAAAGTAGCTTCACTCAGCTTCTAATGAGTTCTCCACTAGAAACAGAGCTGTCCAATTATCATACAGTAAAATTATGACGTTCCAGTGAAAGTATGAAATTCTAAAACTCTACACCATGAAGAATTTCAAACTATCAAGCATTTCAGAATCTCACAACGGCAGCGCTCTCTAATTTCCAAGACATTTAGAATTTCAAATTTTCAGAATTTTAGAATCTCAGAAAGATCATTCTGTGGATTTTAAGACATCGAATTTCGAACTTCAAAATCTCAGAATTTCTGGAATCTTAAGCATATCTGAGTGGCAACATTCTCTGAACTCGAAAACGTTTCGAATTTCCGAATTTCAAGAATTTCACAAATGCAAGAATTTCAGAATATCAGCATTCGCTGAATTCTAAAACACTTAGAATTTCAGTGTTTTAGAATCTCAACGTCAGGGTATTCGCTGAATTCTGAAACATATAGAATTCCAGAAGTTCCTCCCCAATTCAGGAATCTCAAAATATGGGAATGGCAGCATATTCCAAGTTAGAGAATCCCGCTATTCTGTGATTCTTGAAATTCTAAATATTTTGAAAGTCAGAATGTAAGTATTCTGAGATTCAGAAATTCTGAATTTCCACATCTTTTCGAATTCACACAATCAATACTGCCATTTTAAGATTCAGAGATTCTGAAATTCTAAAGTTTTGAAATTCAGAGGTTGCTGATATTCTGTGATTCTAGACCTCTTCGAATGTCAAACTTTCACTGGAAAGTCATCATTATACTGTATAGTGATAATTTAACAGCCCTCATTTTATGACACATCATCTTAAGGCTATCCAGTCTTTTCAAATCAAGCAGAAAATGTTCCATTGCCCATTAAATCGATATGAAAAGAACGAAACAGAGCTCGTGCAGAGATTCGAACTCTGTACGTAGAGATCAGTTGTCTTCTATATACACCATTATACCATACGAGCTTACACAAATACATACAGTTTTCGTTCTCTTTCTTGTTATGAATAAAAATAATTTGCAAAATTAAAAATAACTAATTAACAATAATTAGCGTTTCTCACCATGACGGTAGCATTTCTTAGACTTGAGTCTTGAGCACAAAATATAAGAAAGCTAATTTCCTGAAACTGAGCCTAGACGATGAAACGTAGCAAATTGAATTTTCTGAATTTTATCTGCTTTGTACAACTCGATCTTCAAGGTACAAAACGATAACTACTGTTTCTCATTACAACAAGATGATTTCTCATTAATTGCATCTAGTTGGAAATTGCCTTACCCTAGATGCATCGCCCGATTTTAACGATAGGATAAATGGAATTGACTTAAAACGGTGTTCAAGAAGGTGAATCGATCGATAAATCCCACGATGTATCTGCCGCTTTACTGAGCGATTTCACGCGTGTCTCATCTGGAGTCGATGGACAATTGGATTCATCTCTCGATATATTGCTCGATGAAGGGGTTAATACCGCTACTACTTGATTATCACACGCTTAGGCGCGAACGACGTTTGGACACAATGATATTTGGGCGCATGTACGCCACAGGCATTGATTAAGAGTGTATGTGTTAAAAAAGTATGAAGCATACCCATAAAATTTTCTTTCAAACAAACTTGATGTGGTGTGAGAGCTTTTTCCATGTTACTCATATCCAGCTGTAATCACTGCCTCTTTAATCTTCATCTGTACTCACCCTCGCCTTTCAAGCTCAATTATCTTTGCGCCCAACTGTCGGCGCCCAAATCTCGTGTGCCCTAGATTCGGTATACCCTACTGGATACAGAACTAGACACATCCACAGTATTTTGGCGTCAAATTCCGGGTTATATACTGTTCATTCAAGAACTTCCGCTCGAACGGTTTTTGTTATTTCAAAACCAGACGTTGGTAGTCGAGGAACGGTGTCACGGGCCAACTGCTCACATAATAGTATCAACCAATTATCAAATTTGATCTGTTGAAGAAATAAACAGATATAACTTTTACCAGTTTTTTTATTTATTTATTTGACGTAAGTCGACGGATCTAAGAAAAGTGACGCCTACAGTAACTGTTAACTACTAACACTTCTGTTGGTACCAAAATATTGTTGAGATGTTGCTGTTTATTAAGGGTACACGCACATCATTAGCAAAAATGGCCCCAGTCAACAGCCACCTTCAGCATACCGTACCTCAACGACTATTAAGTTGTGCATCTATGTACATCTATTAAAGATGGATAGTGACAAGTCCTGTCGAACAGTAAAAAACAATTCGATGAAAACTATGGACAATTGTGCTAAGGACTGCCTTAGCTTAGAATCAATATAAATTTTCTCATATAACAAAGCAAATAAGAATAATTATTCAAAGAGCTATTGTCAAATGATAGCTGGTGTATATAAGTATATAACAGATCTGAACATATATAATAAACAACTAACAGCAAAATCAAAATGACAGACAGATAGTTATAAATCAAATGAATGATTATTTATATTTGTTGATAACTGTTGTTTTTCCAAATAGTGTTAAGTGCAGTTGGTAGTGACTATTACAGGATCATAGCCATAATGCCTAATACATGTCTTTAATTATACACGGAAAATAAGAAAGAGAAAAATCAAAGTTTCACCCGGAATTTGTCGTCAAAGTACTGTAGAAATGAATCGGCTGTATTCGGATGTATCGGCTGATAACCCGATTCAACCTTTTCTCTTTTTAATGCATATAGCTGTATCGTGTTTTGTATCTAACGGGTGGCGCATAAATAAACGCACTCCCGTATTTTGAATATAACTCCGCCGGCTTTTATCCTATCGATCCAAATCTTTTTCCAAAAGATTCCTTATTGAATTCTCTACAAAACCATGTCAT